GTTGGTTGGTTGGTTGCATGGACGGACGGATGGACGGACTCACCTGTGGACATCCAACATGGCCGCACTCGGCCTTCCGACAGACCACTTGGCCCCGGTTACAGGCGCAGAACTCGCAGCCGGTGCCGTTCCACATGTCTCCATGGTAACGCACCTCACCCTCGTACAGGCAGCTTCCTTTGGCAGGAGCACATTCGTCGCAGCACCGACCGGCGCGCCTCACTTTGGTCAGACCCTGCATGGAAACGGATCCATTAGAGGAGAAGGAAAACTCAGAGAAATGTTTCTTTTTTCCGCCTGTTTTCAGGGAAGACGAGAGGCTAAAAGGTTTCTTGTTGCTTCGTCACAGAAACACAGCTGGGCCCATCAGGCAAGAGACCAGATTTAGATGGATACTTTTATTTATTTATTTATTTTCTAAAAGATTCATGTTTTGGTTTCTGTCTTGTTTTTCTTTGTTCTTACGTTTTCCAGCTGCTTCTCCACATACACCTGGTTTAGAAGTTATTTAATTTATTATTAGGATCTTGGGTTGTTCAGAGGAAGCCTGACCAGAAACTCAAACAACTCAGAGGAGCAGCATCTCTACTCCAACCAAGCAGACAAAGCGGACCTCCTTCTCTTCAAACTCCCCAAATGTTTCACAAACTGCCTTTTTATTTTATAATCCTATATTTCCACCAAACCTCCAAGTCAGTCTTTATATAAAATAATAAAAACAACTAATGTTTCAGATAAGCATTAAGATTATAAACAGTTGGGATTCAGATCTGTTACCTAATCCACATTAACGGTATGAGTATGCACTTATGCAGCCATTTAATGTTTTGATGTGTGTGTGCATGTGCGTGTGTGCGTGTGTGTATTGTTTTTTATGCTCCCCTGTGATTCCACCACCAACAGTTCCAGCGCACTAAAGAAGCTGTAAGATGAAATTTGCATGCAATTAAGAATTAAATGTCAGGCTGCATGAATATTTTGTGCATGCATCGTGTGTTTAAGTGTAGGCGTGTGTGTGTGCGCGTGCGTGTGTGTGTGTGTTTGTATAAGTAATTGCACTTGTCATGCTGTGTTGCTGTAAAACTGTTTACAGAGTTGCACTGTGGGAACTCGCCTCCGTTTTGGGAATATTATGCAAACCTCCCTGATGTACACATCTACATTTCAGCTTCAAGACTTTCTGTTTTAAGTTAGACTTCAAGACTCCTCGTTTTCTTCTGAAGAGTGTGTGTGTGCGCGTGCGTGTGTGTGTGTTTGTATAAGTAATTGCACTTGTCATGCTGTGTTGCTGTAAAACTGTTTACAGAGTTGCACTGTGGGAACTCGCCTCCGTTTTGGGAATATTATGCAAACCTCCCTGATGTACACATCTACATTTCAGCTTCAAGACTTTCTGTTTTAAGTTAGACTTCAAGACTCCTCGTTTTCTTCTGAAGAGTGTGTGTGTGTGCGTGCGTGATTGCTCACCTTGTCGCAGACGGCTGGCCGACAGGTGTCTGTGTGACATTTCGACTGACCCCGGTCGCACACGCATGCAGTGCAGGCGTCCTTCTGCCACTGCTCCCCGTGCTGCAGGGAGACACAGACGCACATTTAGATTGCTCCAAACTCGAGTGCGACACCAAAAGCCGATTGAAATCCAGGGAGCTTTGTTCCTCTGAGGGCGAGACAGAAAACCAGGGGCGTCCTGGGAGGGAGGAGCGGTTCAAACACACAGCCGGCACCAAAATGTCAAACAAATCCTCTGTTTTAGGCTGGAAGAAGAAGAAGGGAGGCAAGAATAATAATAAATAAATGTGCAAGAGGTTAATTAGTGAGATTCTGCTTTGTTAAAATGTTCACCAAATCAAGACTTTTTAAAACTATTATGTTAGTCCCTCAAAGCACAAAGCATAGAATGAGACTGAATAGATCCACCCCTATAAATCGGGCACATTGTCAGCAATACAAATCTAGATTTTCTTACGATATCGGACTGATACAGATTAATATCGGATCTGTGAATCTCTAGAGATTAACGTATTTAACTTACATTGTTTTCTAATGAATTTAGGACATTTTAAGGCTTTAATTTTGGCTGTGTACTGGCTTATTTGTCCATCAACTCCATTAATCCAAGACACAGATCCAGCAGGCGAACACAGACAGAGACGATCTCCAGACCCGCCTGAGTTATTCCTAGGCCAGCGGCGATAAATATAATCCCTGCAGCGAGTTCTGGGTCTGCTGCAGGGTCTCCTCCAGGTCAGGAGCGTCTCCAGAACGAGCTGTCAGTTTACCCAGACATGGACATTTCAGCTGCTGTTTATGCTTCCAAGTGAAACGCTGAGTTATTCCCAGACTTCTTAAAAGCTTGGCTACAAGTAAAAATAGCAGACAACGTCAGAAAGGACTGCAAACGTTTTTATTTCCTTTAACTTTTTCACATTTTACCATTTCAGACTCAACAAGCTGCAGACAAAGTTTAGCATAAACATGAGATGGAAAGAAAATTAGAAATGTTTTTGCTAAGATTTTCAGACACAGAAATCTCTGTTGTGATGGATAAAGTTAAGAACCTTACACTGAAAAAACACAAAATCTTACCAACTTGGGATTAGTTTCTACTGCAAATATCTTAGTGCACTTGAAATAAGACAAAACTAACATACAAGTAACTTTTCAGCAAAATATAGGAGTTTGTTTTAACTCACTAATTCCTTAATACTGAAGGAAAATGTACTAAAATCATCCACTTCTAACAAAACATTTCTCCCATGTTAAAAGTTAAATAATCTGCTAATTGAACTGGAACTTTTTCATCAATATTAAGGGATTATTGACGTCTATGCACCACAAATCTGCAGCAAACTTCCAGAAAAATGTAAAACAGTTGAAACAATGAGTTCCTTTAAATCTGGACTAAAATCCTGATGTTTAGAGCTACTTTTCTTCCATAACAAATGAAACATTGACCAACGTTTTGATGTGTAATGACAGCACTTGGAAAAATGTAATCCTTCCCAGGGTGGATCTTTGTGAAATGTGCCATATAAATAAAATTTTATTTGATTTAATTAATATCTTGTTGAAAAGTTACTTGTAAGTTAGTTTAGCTTTATTTCAAGTGAGCTAAGACATTTCCACTAGAAAATAGACCAAAAATACTTGGTAAGATTTAATGTTTTTGCATTTTATGAATGTTTGTTGTTAGCAAACATTAAACCAAGAAACACAGCAAGGAGAAAGTTGTGGAGAAGCTTAAAACAGAGTTGTCATAAAACAATACCACAAGCTCTGAACATCTCCAATTAAATGAATATGTAAATCAAGTAACTTCTTTTTGTGCTTCATATCTGGTGAGTTTCAGGTCTCAATTTTATAATCCCGTTTAAATTGAGGTCGCCGTCCTGCAGACGTCAGATTTAATTCCAATTTAATTTCTCTTTAAAGTTAAACGGCTGAATTAAATATTGACCCAGGGCTCGGAGAATGCAAATGATTTCAGTGTTTAAGACATCAAAACCCAGAGAAGCTGTTTGAACATCAATCATCTCTGAGTGATTTATGACCTTCCAGGAGGATTTAAATTCTCACCTGAACAAACGGATCAAAAGAGCTCAGAATAATAATTTATATTCAACCTGAACGCTGTTTTAACATTCAGTGAATCGCTCTTCATTTACACACCGCGAGTAACAGAGCAAAACTGTGTCTGTATTTAACAAGTTAAATTAAAAGAAAGCACTAATACAGACTTTTTTTAAATTTTGTGCCAACTGCAAAAAAGACTTTTAAAAATCATTGTTTTAATAAAAAAATAGAGGAGAGAAACTACATTAAAACTATATTATTCCAGTTAAAACTCATGAACAAAAGGACAAACACTAAAATTAAGAAACTTTGTTTCTTTTAATAAAGCAAACACATTACATTTTACATCTACCAGTGCATCTCAATAAATTAAAATACTATTGAGAAGTTAATTTATTTTAGTAACTCTCGTCACTAAAAGTGAAATGTCATATAAATTAATTAAATACTGATGTTTTCAAGCCGTTATTCCTGCTAATTGTGTTTTTCAGCCACTAAAAATGCAACATTAGACTAGAATATCCCAACAGATCAATAGAAAAACTGTTTTAACGCAGAAATACATGTTTAGAGGTTATTTTCAAAAAGTAAATCTAATTTGTGCCTGTTCAATTATTTCACAAAGATTAGAGAAAATTAGAGCACTCTGTTTCATTTAAATATTCATGTTTTGTTAGTAGGTGAAAAATTAATTCACTGAATTATTTATGGAGGTTTTATGTGGGGGAAAAATTACAAATTGTGTCCAGTGAGTATTTTACTCTTCATGAGACTTGATGTCTTCAGTCAGAGGCTTCTTCAAATTTGTTGTCATACAGACTGCTACTGGAGATCTTTCCTGCCAACAGCCATCACTACTGATGAATCTGAATAAAGACGAGGCACAACAACGTTTAATTTCCCTTTGGGATCAATAAATTTAATTGAATAAAACTTAATAATTGTTTTATTTAGATGCCTGCACATTTCTGTACTTTGTCAGCAAACAAGCTAGAAAATATTTTCTTTTCTAAAACTTTAATACTCCGCCGAATAAATTGGCTGATATACATGAAATATCAATGATCACATTATTCCTTCTGAAGCTGAGAGCATGTGTGTATTTAAAGATCCAAGCGCAGAATAAAGAGGGATGCACGATGTGATCAAAGTGAGAGATCAGAGTCTGCACGGCGCTGAAAACACAGCAGGTGGAAACAAACAGCGAGTAAAGAGGACGGACTGAAGCTTTCAGCCCACCTGGTATTGAGTTCCAGCAGAGAGACAAGGGTTGGACACGCACTGGGGACAGCATTGGCCTGGCTGGATCACCAGGTTCTCATGCTGGAAGAGGAGGGAAACAGAACAGGTGAAACAGAGAAAACTCCTTTAACAGGTTCTGAGTCAGAGCAGGATGAAACACCGGGCTAACGTGCCATGAAATAAATCTCTCATATCAGTCCATGTGGATAATTATTGGTCCTTTATTTTTGTTTGTTTTAAATATCTAAAGTACAACCAAATTTCCTGTTTTCACCATAGTTTTTATTTCACATTGTTTTTTTTATTTATTTTTAAGCAGTTAGGAGGCAAAGTGGGGGAACCTGAAACTGCTGCTGTGCCAGTTACTCAGCGGGTTGTTGCTAGGTAACCAAAGCCGAGAGGGAACCTGAAAGGCTTGTTACCCACCAGGCTGTTGCTAGGCAACCAAAGAAAGAGTGAGTTAGTAGTTGAGCAACTAAAGCTTTTCCTCTGCCTACACCCCCCAGAATGCCTTGCGGTTCTGGATCAGAGTTCAGCAAATATTCCACATATTGATTAATCTATCAGCTGTATCATCTATTGATACTGATCGCATGTCTGTCTCCACTCTGGCCTCATCCGTCTAAGGGATAATATCTAGAAACTTTGTGGTTCATTTAAAGGGAAAGTATTATGTGTTTCTCAGCCACATAGTGTCATTTTATAGACCTTCAGTTGATATAAAAATATTACATGACTTAAATTAAAATTTACTTTGTAAATTAACGCCTTGTAATTGAATCTCTGTCTCTTTAAGAAAGTTTTGGCAACATCTTGGGATTGTGCCAACACACACATCCCAGTACGTCCCAGACCAACAAACAACCAGTACTACAGCTGTAATGGAAATGCTGATAATCAGTAGCTTAAATACATTTAATTTATAGAAAATAGCTGCTGTTTTAATTCTTTATTCCTCTGGAAACAATATCGAAGTGATTAGTTTCTCATAGAAAGCGTTTCTATTTTGATGTAGATTTAGTTTATTAAACAAACATGATAAAAAGAAAGTTTATTAAACCTTAAACTTTCTTTTTATCATGGCTATTTTATCGAATATTTTGACCTTCCTCTCATCTCTTTGTCTAAATTTCAGCATCAGTCAGCAATAATCTACTGAATTCAAATAACTGAGCAGGACAGACACAGACTAAAAGATGAAAACACTGGAAGTGTGTTTGAGATGAAACTCACTGGTCTGCAGGCCACTTGCTGACACTCCACCACCGAACACTGGGCCTTCCCACTGCTGCACACACATCTGGTACACAAGCCGGGCTCCCACTCCTCTCCGTCCCTGTAGCCCACACCCTGCCAGGAGCAAGACTCTGACAGGCACCAACAAAAACTAAATGAGTCAATAGCAAAGATGGCCGCCAGGTGAAGAGTATTACTTTCCTGTACGATCTGTGATTTAGAGTCAGGAAACAAAGAGGATTAGCTAATTAGCTGCTAAACGGCGAGATAAATCATTGTCTCTCCAAGACATCATTAGATCCAATATTAACATTTCAGCACGAATCTGAAGATCTGGTGGAACGTCATGTCTGTACGTGGTTAATCACCTCATAAATATGGTGTCCAAGGATATGAATTTAAAATTATTATCACAAAAATTATCACAAAATCAGTGAAAAAATAACAAATTCTGGAATTTCAAGATGTGCAACAAAAACAATATCCATCTCTGAAAGAAATCCGGCTGAAAAAAATATGTATTTAGTCTGAATTTTACATCTTTTAGTGCAAAAACACAAAATCTTAATTTTGGTCTAATTTCTATTTTAGTCATAAAATAAAACTAAATGTACTTAGAAGTAACTTTTCAGGAAGAATTATGAGCTCGAATTAAATCAATTATTCCTTAAGATTGAAGAAAAACTGCTAATTATAAGCTAAATAATCTGCCAGTGAAGATTTTAGTTTACAAAATGGGAAAAATGTCTTGTTTCACTAAAGTTTCAGCTGAAGTTTAAAGTAAAAATCTGCAGAATGCAGCAAATTTGTTTTCCAATTATTTGTCAAAATAGCTAATAGAATAATTTCAAATGATATTTGAAGATATTTTAATTTCACTTAACATCACTCTCATACAGATACACAGAATAGAAAATGTATATTTTATTTTGAATATTTTTAAAGTTAAGTTAAACAGAAGGTCATTTTATTCAAAAGTAGAGGGGCAAACTAATTTAAAGTAATGTTTTATCATTTTATGCTAAGTTTAAATAATCGTATCAACTTGAAATAGATTCAAAGCAAACTAAGACATTTATTATATATTTTAAGAATACTCATTGAATACAGATGAATATTAAGATTACTTCCTGAATTTATAGAGCTGTATCATTGTTCCACCACTAACTCATTATAAAGGTTCCATTGTCTAAATGTCAATGTTGCTAATATTAGCTAAGCTTAAAATATTCTGTAACTTGTAATCGTCAGAAATTAGAAGATTAAATCTGCAATTTCTCAAAACACCAATAATTCGAAATATACAGCCTGTACAATATCTCTGCAGAACAATAAATGCTTTATTAAAAACAATCTATAACAAATGCGGTCTGTATTAAAGTCTTCCTGCACAGGGAGATCTGAAGCAGCTCTCACCTCCATTACTGCCGCACTTGGGGCAGCAATCCCCAGCTGCGATGAACGGGGTCTGGTCCGGCGAACAGGTGACTTGTGGGCAGGGCCGGGCGTGGCAGGACACACTCCCTTTGGAGCAAACACACACCGAGCAGGGAGAGGGACTCCACTGGCTGTCGTGCTGTGGGAAGCAAACAAACAAAGAAAAAAAACAATTACATGGAGAAATCAAACCTACGGCAGAAATAAGACAAGAAGAAGAGACAGCGAGACGAAGCAGGCTGAGGAGAAGAAACGCTCTAAGCCTGAGTGACAGATGAGAAAACTGAGTGGGTATGAAGGATAGAGTGGCTAAATACAAAGGGGTATTGGGAACGGTAAATTCCCGCCAAAACATTATAAAAATATAAAGTCTAAGAAATTTTCTGAAAAAAAAAACCTTGGACATTTTTGAGCTCCAAAAAAAAAAAAAAAAAAAAAAAAAAAAAAAATACTAAAAAAAAAAAAATAAAAAGAAAACTTTTCACGGAAAAAAACAAAAAACTGTTTCTTTTA